TCTCATTTCTTCTTCAAAACTTGAAGTAGAGATTTTCTTAGAGTTATACATATGTTTTTGCAAGATCTATATAATTTTCGAAATCATCTTTCGATAGTTTTGAAAATTTATTGTTGATTCAAGAAGTTGAGCGATTTTGAAAGTGGGTTTGTCTCTTATTCTTTTAAAATGATCTTATGAGTTTTGATCTTTGTTGATTGAAGAAAAGATGATTTTGGAAAGTTTTCTTTCAAAAGATTTGAGTTGTATGGTTTTGGTGAGAAAACCTAGAATTTTGGGATTTTTTTTTTAAGAGACTGAAAATCCGTAAATGATATTGTTATATTTATTTTGTGTGTCAAAATAAATGGATGTTTGGAAATTTTCTTATTTATATTTATATAAATGATGAATTTTGGGGAATATGAGAATTATTGTTCATTTTGAAAATTATTGTTCAAAATGTTGAAATAGTCTTAAAATGACTAATTGTTGAGGATACTTAAGAAGAGGGAATTGTGTTATTGCTTGGATGATGAATTGGAATAAAAGTATTTATATTCATCTTGTGTTATTGGCATATCAATTCATTTGATTACATTAAACTTTGAAAGTTGATTTGAAAACTTGTATTGAGAAAAAAATGTTGAGAAACAAGTTTTCATAGAATGGTTTTGCGGTAAATATGTTTGTAAGTCTTGATAGGTGGTGTAGATGATATTGAATAAGTTGGCTTGAGAGTCTGGGGTAAAAGACCGAAAACCCGCGCGGATAGGTGTTAAGCCTTCCAGTTAATACCGGTAAAAATGACAAATTGGTAGTAATTGTATAATCTACTTGCAGATACCGACCTAGGGATTTCCAGAGTCGTATTTACCGCTCTTGAAATGAATTGTTAAGTTTTGAACAATTAAAATTGCATGATATCATTGAGCATAATGGTTTTCAAAAGATGAAAATGTGATTTATCTTCAAAAAGGACATAGCATGGCATGTGCATTTCATCTCTTGGGACTTGTATAAAATGTATATACTTTATTAAGAATTTCCTACTGGGCTTTATGCTCACCCTACGAGATTTTTGTGCAGGAAAAGAAGTGGTGATCCCACCCAACTAAGGGCGTGGAAGTATATGTGTTGGGAGTACAATGCTCTCATTTTGCTGTAACTCTGTGTATAAGCCAAGGGCTGTATGTGTGTGGGTTTGAATAACCGTTTTGTGTAACCAGGCTCAAGCCTTGGAAACTTGTAAACCCTTGGGGGTATTTATTTGTCTATTTACTTGTTGTTGGATTAATGTATTGTTACATGAAGGACTATTGTATCATGTAATATAAGTTTGGAGATTTATATTCGATTTTCCTTGAAAGAGCCATGATTGTTATATTATCATTTTGGCTAGAAATTTGGGGTGTTACAGGCCGAGTTCGGGAAAAATCTGAAATAGCCCTTTTGATTTTAATCTTTAAGTGTTCATGAATATGCTTATTAATATATGATCATATCTTGGTATGATATAGCATATGTCATGGGTGTATACCTTTTATTTTATTCCTTCGATGATGCTTACACTAATGCAAATTTATTCTTGTAACTTGCTTGTACTAACCAACTTAAAGTGTTAATCTCAATGGAAAACTTAATGGGGTGGCTAACGGGGTTTTGATCACATGAGTACTGTTATGAGATAAAGTTATGTTCAAATTGAATTGATTAGCGAGACGTGTTCCCCTTAAGTGTAAAGTCTTGTGCAAGCGGTTGTTTCAAAACCCATGAACGAAGTAGTTGTATTCAGACCTTAGGTATTTAGTGTAAGGAGGGATTTGGGCAAGGCCCATTATTATTGTCTCTTTTGAGGCCCTGCAGTTAGCTCTACGTGGTAGATAACCGTTGGTAGACATTCGAGGTAAATTCTGCAACAAAGCAGCAAAAGTGAGAGCATACCGAATAATCTGTGTCCGATTCTTGTGGTTAAGAGAACAAAGTCTCCTTGGGGGATTTCTAACTTACTAACAACTAACCTTGTAACCTTTTTTTATTTTCTTGAATATCATGTTTCTTTCTCCATTGTTGTAATTGCCATTGTGTATTGAATTTGGAAAAAATGACGAGGTGTGTATGCATTTACTGAGCATTCAAAACTCATGGCATTTCATGCCAGGTATCGAAGAAACATACGAGGATGATGAAGAGCCAGAGACATTTGAAGACTTTTGATTGCCTTAGAGAAAATTAGAAGCCATTTTGCTTATGAGTTTGTTCTTGCTTTTTTTTTTTTAGAATGTAATAGTAATGGAACTCGATTTGAAATTTAAGTTTTGAAACACTGTAATTATTATTTGCTTATATATCTTTGTAATCCTATGACTATCTCTGCATTACTTATGAGACCTTGCGTTAACACCTCTTAAGATCTGTCAAAAAGATAGCTTGCTATCTAAGGTGGTTAGACTTAGAAGGGAAACTATATTGACTCCTCCGACCTTCCTAGGATCTTACTTGGCTATTGACCAAAGGACTCTTTAATGACGTTACATTAACCCTTAGAGTAAAAATTGGGGCGTCACACCATCTCACAATTAAACTCACTCACCCACCAAATCATAACATAGGGTTTTGAGAGAACTCATCTCCATCACCATCCACACACTTTAAAACTTTCAAACCTACACACAACCACAATGCCCAATATATGCAAGATTCTCCAGCAGCTAGTCTTTTGGCGACAATGATGACAAGTATTCTCCAAAAAGCCTTGGATAGTTCACACTTCTCCGGCAATAGAAATGAGTGAAAGTTTTTTCCAGCAATCTCAATATCGTGAGATGAATGGATCATCAAAATGTCAGCTTAGAGGAAGTTCACAGCTTGGATGAGGTTCACAGCTCGGAGGAGGTTCACCTTGTAATGGTGAGTGTTTTCAAGCACAAAAAAAATTAATGAAAATGATTTGACGTTTTTATGGTACTGAACTCTCGAATATATGCCAGAAAAATAGGAACACAAGGTCGAATTAGAGGCAATAATTTGGCAAGATCTAACTAGATATTTGTTCAGAAGTTTAGTGCCGAACAAAGTTTGGAACAAATTTGAGTTTGGTCCCATGAGGTCCAATGGTGAGATCATCCATGAGAGATCGACGATAAAGAAAGATCGGAGATGAAGAGAGAGATCAACGACACAAAACTCTTGATGGTAAGAGAGAAAGATTTCCAGGGTGAGTTCAACTGTCAAGAGTTTTTCGAGATTAAAGGGTTTTTAGGGGGTGTGCTAATGGTAAAGAGGTGTGCATGTTGGTGGGTGTAATTTTGTAGAATGATAGTTTTGATATTATTTGGGGGTTCTTAAAAAATTTTAAGGTCTTGAATTTTATAGGCGAGATTCAAAGACATGTGAGGTTCAAAGTATTAATTAAGGTGCTAATAAAAACACTCATTTATAATTTACCCAATTTTTAAGTAAGTGAATATCGGAACATTCAATTTTTTTCAGTATATCAAGGTTTTAGTTAAATTTGATTAAAAAAACCATTGAACATCCTATCTTAAATCAAACTTTTAACTAATTTTTTTATCCAAATTTAGTAGATTTTTTTTTCTTGAAAGCTTGGACATGATATAATTCACACTTTTTTGGGAAATTTTTATTTCCACACACTTACCTACCTCAGTACATATCATTTCTCAACGCACACACTTACTAATTTATTTTTGGTTATTCTTTTTATTCCACACACTTGATGTTCCAATTATACCCTAACTTGTATCCTTGTACACACCACCTAAACCCTCCTTCCATACACCTTTACCCCCTTCACCCATTTTTCACACAACTATGAATAATGGTTTAAAATCAGAGATTACTCAGATAGGTTGTTTCAATTAAGAAGTAGATTTTCCTAGGAAAATGAGAAGGAAAATTGAAGGATTTAATGATATTTATAGGATTTAACAAAAATTTACATCGTTTTCATAAATCAGAACCTTTGATTTTCTATTATTTTTTCGAAAAATATAGCCCGTGGCCATGACAGGAAAAATGAGAGAGAGAAAGAGAGAGAGAGAGAGAGAGAGAGAGAGAGAGAAAGAGAAGAAATGAGAAAAGGAAGTGGAAAAAGAGAGAGATGCAGTGGTGCATAAAGAGTAATGATAAATAAAAACCAAGCAACAACTCAATGTAATGGAATATATATATATATTGTAATTATTAGAACTTTAGTAGCAAAAAAGAAATTGTAGGGAAGAGATGTAACTGCAATGGGCAATCGACTATGAACTGGGGAAGTAAGAGGTACCACTGTTCTATCCCCTTTGGAGTATTAATAATTTTGAAAGGATTAGATATAGCTCTCGTCATCTCTGTGCTAATCCAACAATGCAATTACTAGTAATAATAATAGTAATGCTGAGTATTCGCTTTTGATCGAAGAGTTGGGATTTAGAAGTTGGAGTACAATGGTTCACTTTTGAGAAATAATGGAAGAAATGATAAACAAAAGAGAAATTAGGATTTAGTTTTTTTTTTTCTCTCTTAAAAGATGTGTATTGAGATTTTTTTTCTTTTTGATATAATATTGTAAGTGTATTTTAATGTCTATTATAATAATTTTACTTTAAAATATAATTATTATTAAAATAATATTTCATTAAATATGCTCAAATAAATTTGTGAAAATAGAATTTCCTCAATTTTTTTTAGTTGACACAATTCAGGTTTGTTTGGAAAGTGGGTTGACTTTTTGATTTTTTTGACTATTTTAACTTGGAATTAAAAAGTCTCGTTTGAAAAGGACTTTTAATTTTTTTAATTTTTTTGTCAAAAAAATAATATAATAATTATAAATCAAATATGATATTTTATTTTTTATAACTAAAAAATATATTTTATTTTTTTCAACTATTTTAACCAAAAAACTCAACCTATAGATCCCCAACCAATCCTCAAAAGAATTTAGAAGAAAGATATAGGGGGCTTTATAGTCATTTCGTGTTTTCCTATTCGGCTGCTCCCCTATATAAGGTCACAGCTACAAAAATTAGGGTATAAAAGCCCCAATCTCTCTCCCCCTCATTCTCGCTCTGGTCTCTCAACCTTTTCCAACAGAAAAACCCAGAGAAGACAATAGCAGAGCCAGCAATTCGTTACTGGTTTCTCTCACTCTCTCTTTCAATTGTAACTTCTGCATCTTAATCATACCTTTCTATCGATTTCAACTCTATACACATATTTGTACAGTTTCTTGAGAATTTTTCATTTATTTTGCAACTTTTTGGTTGAATTATCCATACTTCTACGCATGTATATGTATTTTTAGTCAATTGTATCGATTTTGTTTGAATTTTGTGTTTTTGTTTTGTTATATTTGTGGGTTTGAAGTTTCAATTCGCTCGATTTTAGACAGATCTTGATGAGAAGAAGAATGGGTTTTTATTTTTTTTGCAACATTTTTTGTGGAATCATGTATACTGATTTGCATGTGTATGTGTTTTTAGTCAATTGATTCAAATTTTCATTGAATTATTGTGGGTTTTGAAGTTTTGATTCGCGTGACTTTTGACAGATCTTGATAAGAAGAAGAATGGCAACGTTTGAACTGTACCGCAGGTCCACCATCGGTATGTGCTTGACTGAAACATTGGACGAGATGGTTTCGGGCGGAATTCTCAGTCCTGAACTCGCCATCCAAGTCCTTGTTCAGTTCGATAAGGTGAATCCAGAGCTCTTTCAATAGCATTACATGAGATCTATATGTATGTTCATGAAACCATGTTTGTGATTTTTGCTTTGTCTGTTCATTGTTTTTTGGATTTCAGTCGATGACCGATGCTCTGGAAAGCCAAGTTAAGAGCAAGGTGTCTATTAAGGTAAAAGTTCTTTCTGTATGTTTTGACTCTATTCTTGTATCAGCTAGGTCATGGGTAATTTGATACTTGCATTTCTCGATTTTATTGAGAAGTGAATTTTAAGGGGGAAAAAATTATTGTTTAACTTATATTTGTCTACTAGATAGTGGGTATTTGAGTTTAATCATGCTTCGTCCTTGATTGAATTTCACTTACTCATTGGAAAAAAAAAAAAATACAAGTAAATAATTTTTATAAAACTATATGTCCTTTTTTAAGCATGTCTTTAAGACTACAAGTGTAATTATAGGGATTGCACAACAAGGGCTAGTTATTTGGCATTAGTAAGTATGAAAATGAATAAATGACTGCTTAGGGATTGCACAAGGGTAATTATAAAACTATATGTCCTTTTTTAAGCATGTCTTTAAGACTACAAGTGTAATTATAGGGATCGCACAGCAAGGGCTAGTTATTTGGCATTAGTATGAAAATGAATAAATGACTGCTTAGGGGCATCTATATTCTGGATTATAAGTATCTTGGTGTACCAATGTTTGTTTTTGGTGATTATTTGTTCATTAGTTGAAGTTGGACGTCTTTTGTGGTCTATTAAGGCTTCCAAATATGTAGGAAGTCTAGATAAATTAGAATGTGTATGTTTGTTGCCTTCTTTTGAAATTTTTATGAGTGTTGTAAAGCTTCCATGAGGGAAGAATTCAAATGGAGGCTCCAATCCGTTTGAGTTGGAAGTGTGGTACATTTGAGAGAGTTTTTCTATGGTGATGCTATTTTAGTGCCTAAATAGAATGTTTAGGTCAATACCATGGTTGGTACTTGGCCTGTTTGAATTCTTCAGTTTGGTAGTCACTGGACTGACTGACATTCACTGTCTAAATTGCTAATCAATAATCCCATTTGGTCAACAGACCTGTATTTCTTAAAGGGATAAAAAAAAATTCCACTTTATTAAACAAATATAACTTGGCAGTAAACAAGTTTATAGTGTCTTTTATATGTAACTCCTTCTGTAAATGCTCTATATTATTTTTCTTCGTCTGTTCTTTCATGCATACACAATCTGAAACAAAGTATAAAAAGAGAAATAGATGTATACATATTCACTATATTACGTTCCCAAGACATGCATAAGTTGTGTTCATGTGCACATGCCGTGTATATGTAGGTTTGTGTTGTCCAACTGCCCAGATCCATATAAGAATGCTGAAACTCATGTTTGAATAGATGATGGATGAAAAAGTTATATTCTATGTGCTTTTGGATTGACTTAAATTAGAAACGTGAATGGTTGATTCTGTATAGGTTGGATCTAAAGCTTTTGTTTTGGCAGTGCTACATCTTATATAGGATTGAGCAAATGTTTGTGGTAACATGCTTCAAGCTTTATATATTAGGAAAGAAGAAGGCGAACAAGATTAATATGTATCATTTATAGCCCAGTTGGTTCTTTGCTTACTTTTCTTTATCAGAACATATGTTGAACTTAAATTTCTTTAAAACATAAATTGGGGGGACTAGCTTAAATCACTAGTTTAAAATTTTATTAATAAGTTCTAAAGCTATTGTAGTCTACAACTAATAAATGAGAGTGAGAGAGAAGACTTCATAAGTCAAGGTAATGTTATGTTATGTTTAGTTTAGAAGAATCACATTTCTACTATAACAGACCGTTTGGTACACTAGGTGACAAAAAGAAAATATGATTATGGTTTCTCACCTAGCTGAGCAAGAAAAGAGATTATTGTATTTTCTCGCCATCTTGATTGGGTAATTAATAAGGAAGTACTTATTAAGAAGAGGGGGGGAAAAAAAATCTTCTTATACCAAAATAACCTTCATCTTGTTGGGATATGGGTGGGATCTTTTTTTCTTCCTTTGTATTTTGATGAACAATTTTTGTATTATGAAAACTTGACATGCAATTGGTTTCATTTCTCACCACATATTGTCATTCTTTGTGAGATTTGGTGAGATAAGGAAAATAGTGTATTTTATGTGAGTTATCTTTCTCATCATTTCTCACATAATGAACAACCAAACCTGAGAGAAGGGGCATGAGATGAGAATCTTGTTTGCTTTCTTTTCTCGCGAAATAGCTCAAACCAAATGTGGAAATACATAATAGGAGGTTAAGTAAATTCAAATGATAGAGAAATAAAGATCGAGTCAAAAAATGGAGTGTGCGTGCATCAAGTTTATGCAAGAGAGAAAATAGTTGTGTATAAATTAAAATTAAGGTAGCATATAGGTGAAGAGGGAATTAGGTTAAACCTCCCAAGGAGGGTTTGTGCATTCTTCCCAACCTTTTTATCAAAGGAAAATGCAATGCTTATGCAATACTGTAAACTTAAGGATGCAACTTTCGAAGAATAGCGTGGGAAGATAAAGCAAGTAGATGGAATAGAAGGCAGAGTAAAACGGGGAAGAGGTGTTGGGGGTAGCTTGGCTTAATGTTTAGACATATGTGAAAGAAGAACCGTTACTCAACTAGGACCTTGAAGTAGTACCATCACTTGAGTTTGTTGTGCCTTGGTGAAGTACCCTTAGTTGTGTTTGTTGTCCTTTAAAAATCCATTTTAAAGGACAACAAACTTCGTAGAGGGTTAACTTTACAATAGCCTTTTAAATATAAGAGAAATGCCATGGAAACCAAACTAATAACGGGATTAACCAGCAAACAAGCATAATAAGAAGTTTGCATCTCTATATACAAAGCTATTTTATGTTTATTCTGTGGTTGCTTTTATGGACACCAAACCAACCACCTTATTAATTATCGAACAAGCATAATAGGAGGTTCGTATTTTTACTCATTTTATACTTGTTCGGTGGTTGGTTCTATGGTTGGTATTGTGTCTATAGAATTATTGGTAAATAATGGGCAACCTTAGCCTTTAATTTTCCCTAAAGCTCAGTTTGTTTAGAATGAAATAGATAGAAAGTGGAAGAAAGAGCAGAAAATTTAACTTCTATGAGTTTGTTTAGCTTGAAAATGGTAGAAAGTAACTAATTTTCTTATACAACCCATATTAGCATTGTAACTAATTTTTTATTTTTTGCAAAAAACACAAGAAAAATTGAGGCTCTGTTTGGAACGATTCTGAAAATCGTTTTCTACGATTGAGTTCACATATGGTGTTTGGATAGAGTTGTAGAATTAATTTTCCACAACTCTGCAGAAAATTCTGTCAAACAGAGCGCGATTTTCAAAAAAAAAAATTCGAAATTTGGCCTAACCGGTCGTCCGCTCGGTTGACCGGAACAGTGTTTTTTTTTTTTTTGCAATTGATATGTTAATTTTTATATATTCGAAAAAAATATTTTCTAAATTTTTTTAAATTTTTTATGTGCTTTAAAATAATTTTGAGTTGTATGTTTGGTTATGAATTGTAAGTTTTTGTATCAAATATCAAATGTCACATCAAAAATTTCCCACTCAATCAAAACTCTTTTCAAAACTCTTTCACCAAACAAATTTTCCACACTCAAATCATAATTCCAAACCTCACAAACTCAAACTACAACTCATACTCTCAAATCATAGTTACAAAGCTCTACCAAACGCAACCTGAATGTTTGAGTTATCTATATCTAAACTTTTAAATTTTTCTATCTTTTTCTTACAAAATTTTCATCTTAATCAAATGCTTACAAGAAAATATTTTGTGTTTTCTATTTCTTTTATTTCATTTCATTTCATTTTCTTTTACTTTCACTTTCTACCAAATTTTCTTTCTAACCAAACGGGGCCTAAATGTAAGATAATTTTTCTTTTATTCCAATGATGACATGTTCTTCCCAATAAAAAGTTATTGAGTACTCTTGGAACATCACATGGTCTTGCTTCATGCCAGTCACAAAATGTCACTCCCTTCTTGGTGGGCCAGCTGGCTTCAACATACGTGTTAATAGTTGACTTCATTATCAAGTAAATGGTTTGGCATTTGGTGAGTGGTCTTGGAGTAAGGCCACGTGGTGCTCTAGGAGTACCAAATAATTTCTCCTTTGCACCACATCATAAGTGAACTTAAGGGAACAAAAAATGGTAGTAAATTTTTAGTCAATAACAAAAGAATTCTTAGTACAATATAAAATAAAATTGCTCTTAAAAATTTACCCATAACTTCTAAGGTAAATAATTTTGTGACAATCTAGTCCATTACATTATTGGGCTAGTTAAGTGCAACTCATATGAATTTGTTAATTTAGTAATCATTATTGGCCCTCCTTGTGATGTGGGGGGTCTCCACTTTCTTATTGGAGTATCACATTAAATTTGAATTGAGTTAATCACTTCAATGAAGATTTACCATAGGTTTAAAGCAATCCAAGGCTGATAATTCCTTGAAGTGCTATTGGAGAGTTGTACCCTTTCTTAAGTATGGGAGTAAGATTACCTTTGAGTGTGTAGTTCTTTAAGAGTTGTACCATTTTTCTTCAGAGAAATTCTACTGCAACCACTATAGTAGAATTGTAAGCTACTTCTGGAAAGTGAGATTGGATGCCACATCTCTTCTTCTTTTTTTTTGTCTCCATCTTCTATATTTTATCTCCATCTTATATATTTTATTCTTTATGTTTTTCCTCGCCTATCCAATATTCACTTAGAGACATGCGTAGGGATTGGCAATGGTCAAGTTTGAGACAATGCAATCTTTTACTTGGCTTTGACCGCAACAAAACTTACACCCAAAAGAGGTGGGAATACTGAAATACAATTGTTTTATGTACAATAGGTATCAAGTCTGAACTTTTTAACTAATTTTTTAAGACGCATGTTATATTATCGCCCACTAAATGAAGTGGCATGCTTGCACCATGTGACCTTAACTGCCAAAGCATGAGAGAATGGATGGGGAGGGGAGGCTTTTTCAAGACGAGTATTAGTAGTTTTCCTCATTAAAAACTGATGTGGGATAAAATTGACAGAAGTCAAATGCGTAGTTTTTTTCTCAAGAACATTGTAGTTTGAGTGATAGAGTTGGAATCAATTGTTCCAC